CCTTTTCTCTCAGTTTATTGTCAGGCACAACTGATGGCTCCATTTTCATTCAAGACGCTCGTTATCAAGTGGGCGTAGGCTCGTCAAACCTGTTCTACAGTTACATTTAATCGTGGAAGGTAATAAAAATTAATTATTAATTAATTAATTAAGTGACATGCCTTCTTTTATAGCACCACACCCTCATCTCACACTCACAGTATATCAGAGTTGAAGTGGTACCCTCACGACACTGGGATCTTTACCAGTTCCTCGATGGATAAAACCTTAAGAATATGGGATACTAATGAGATGTGTGTGGGTGGACTCATGCACATAGAGAATGGGAAAATAGAAACATGGGAATGGGAATTTGAGAATGAGTATTGTGTGTGGGCATATCTTTGCTACATATGATGTTAATTTTATTTCCTTTTTAGGTAGTGGAGAATTTTAAAATGAGTACACCAATTTATACCCATGATTTAGCAAAAGCAATAAAGCACACTTTGACAGCTGGTGAGGATAAGCAATATTTAAAAATTAAATAACAAATCATTAATTAATATCTTATTGTTTTCTCTAGTTGGTACCAAAGATGGCATCGTTACCATATGTGACATGAACTCTGGGTCCAGTAGTCATATATTAAAGAGACACAAGAAACCAGTAATGACAGTACAATGGTCACCTTCTGATGAATATACGCTAGCTACAGGAAGGTAAGTAGAGTTATTTTTATATGAATTAAAGATCGCTCATCCTTGTATCTTTATTTTACCTCTTTTAGTCAGGATAATCAGATTTTATTTTGGGATATTCGTAAGGCAAGGTGTCCTTTGGTATCGCTTGATCAACACAATGGCAGCCAAGGAAAAAGTAATGGATTTTCAAATAATTTATTATCCCTTCTCTTAAATTTATCTTGCTTTCTTTCTTCATTCTCTCTCTCTTTCTCCCTCTCTTTCTTTCTCCCCCTTTCTCTTTCTCCCTTCCTCTCATAGACTCTACAGCACACAATGGTTATGTATTAGGTCTACAGTTTACAACTGACGGTCTATTCCTTATCAGCTCCGGATCAGACCAACGTCTTAGACTATGGGATGTATCCTCTACCTCTAACATGCTAGTGAGTGGTGGGTGTGGTCAATGCATACCTAACCACGTCTCTTATAGATTAACTATGGCCGGATCCCTCACTCGTTTAAAAATCAGACTCACCACTTCTCTCTTACTCCTCCTTCTCTCTCTTTCACTCCTCATCTTTTAGTTCCCTCTCATTCTGATGTTAGTATATATGAACTATTTACTGGTAAAACTGTTAGTAAACTGAAAGGTCATTATAGCAGTGTTACTAGTATTGATGTTAATTCTAATGATATTGAAGTGTATACTGGTAGTACTGATAATACAGTACTGATATGGACTCCTGTTAATAGTATTGAGGTAAGTATTCATTTAGTGCGTGGGTGTTAGCCCAAGGTGCTAACGAGATGTGTGGGTGTTAGATTATAGATTTGTAGATTTTGCTATTATTTTTATTAATAATTATTTTCTTATTTTTTCATAGCTTAATACAGAATCAAAATTATCAAGACAATCAGTAATTTATAATGACACTTGGAGTGATGAAGATTAAACAAACT